ATATTATCGTTTATCGCAATAAATTTTGAGACAATTAATCGCCCAGCAAAATTTGTTATCGTGACAGGCCTAAGTAGCATGACATTTATTTGGAATACAGACTTCTGAGTTCTGGTGCATTTGTGAGTGCGGCGGTCATTATGCTACCACTATGTGGTGTCTAGTTAGAACTCTATTAAACTGAACCGGAGGAGGAAGGGACAGAAGGGAAGGACATAAAGCACAAACACATCGAGGAAGCACTCCAAACCTGTAGAAACCCTACCTAGGCTTATGTTACAGCATCCAGGAAATTAAGAAAATGCTTAACCAAAATAAAAAAATAAAAACAACAACAAAACAAACTAAGAAACTCTTTCATTCCATGCTGGGCTAGAGAATCAGAAAAACTCAGAAGAACTGTTTCCAAATGTTACATTTCAAAACCAGGAAGACTGGCTAGTTCAAAGATGTTTTTTAGTTWGTTATTTTTACTATTTTTATTTTTTTATTTGCCATCGCACATGTGAGCACGTAGAGAGGCGCAGTGGGCTACCTGTTTGAGGCACCCGGGGAGCAGATGAGGGGTTAAGGGCCTTGCTGAAGGGCCCAGAGTGGGGCAGTCTACTGCAGCAAGGAATGTTCAGACCTCTATAATGGAGAAACTAAACAGCAGCTTGTAAATGGTACACAACTTGTATAGGCGTTTTTAATGTCGAGGTGCAGCCTCGACTGAACTCTTCAGGGGCCTCATGCATAAAGGATTGCGCAGCTTTCACACTAAAAGTTGACATACGGACAACTTTGAACGGGCGTTTAAAAAAATAAATAAAAGTGAAATTTAAAAAAAACAGTAAATATTACGTCATCCACTTTTTCTGCTCTCCTTTCCTCCTGCGTTACAGCAGGCGCTGTCATCTCCACGGACAGACCCACGCGCGGGTACAAGTGGTAGCCTATGGATTTTTAGCAAACAATATAGATTTTTGAGGCTCATTAGACAGATAAACGTCCAAAGGGGTTGACATATTTGACACCTTCCCAGCTGGTGAGGGTACGTGTGCGCCTGGCGCGAGAATCTACCCAAAGCGCAGCTGCTGCACTACGGCCACAACTCAACTCAGCATCAGCCAGAAGACAACAGAAAAAATAATTATTCTTACCGTACAGTGAGCCACCGATTTTGCTCCCTCTCTTCAGCCTTTTTTATTTTATTTTTTTATGTCGCACGTAATGTGTCGGGTTTTTCCGGCCCGGGACCCGAAAGGTTTTCAACTATGCCACAAAAATATAAAATCAGTTTACGACTGGACTGAGGTTATTTTGATCAATTTTTAGGCTGATCTATTTTCTTGTCTGAGGTTAAATGATTTTCAGTCCCGGGGTTCAGTTTCATGATCGTTCGAGTTCAAACAATAAAAACTCAAAGAAAAACAAATCTAACACTGTGTTCAGACACTGTGTGTGTGTTACATCCAGAAAACACAACAGAGTCATATTTCTGTGGATTCAGGTCAGATTTGTGACTTTGTGAGTTAAAACTGTCGGCTGAAAAACTTTGCGTGGCTGCCGCACATTCTCACTGCAGGTGGCGCAACGTTGGTTTTGATACATCACAACGTGGGCGCAGAACCTGGCGCATGCAACTTTTTTGTGCGTACGCACCGTTTATACATGAGGCCCCAGATGGTTTCGCAGTCATTCCTGCCTTAAAACATTTGATCAAAACCACTCGTGTTGGCATTGTTAGGAAACATCCAAAAAGTGACAGCGACCTAAAAGATAGTAAATGTACTGTACTTATATAGTGCCTTTCTACCCATCCAGAACACTACAGTCTGTGTCCTCATTTACCCATTCACACAGCACTCTATTAGTAGTCTCTACAAAGCTAACATGTACAATCAACTATGGAGACTAATCAGTGCCAATCACATTCATACACGTATGGGACGCACATCAGAGGCATTAGGGGTGAAGTGTCTTGTCCAAGGACACAACAACTGAAACAGCTGGACAGGGGATCGAACCGGTGACCTGGTTCCAGGACGACTCCCCTAACCACTGTGCCACAGCCGCCCCAGACTCAGAGTGAATGGGTTGGTCAGCAACTTGTGATCTTAATGCTCGTATAATTGTGATTGGTGTAAGAACGACTTGAGCCTTGAATTCTCAACCCATGATCAGAACTGTAGAAGGCTTTTGGATGAGAGGAGAATCATCTTTGAGAATCAAAAGAAGTCACTTCTTTGGGAACCACTTGGGAACGAGTTTAGATAGACTGGTAGTAGTTTGTTTACTCGCTGTTTGCTTTTCTTTGTTTCCAGCTGTTTTTGCTTACAACATTTTCTGAGATAATGAATATTATTATTGATCCTGTGTCCTCCATTCAGAGCTCGTCAGCTGGAGCAGAATAACCCAAGCTGCTTGCTGTCAACCACTCCTCGTCACCTTTGACTCCTAAGATGACGTCACAACAAGCCCAGCTCCGGAGTGCTGATATTTCTTCTCGTCTTGCTCCAAACCCATCTGCTCAGCAGGATCACCTTCAGTTTCAACCTGTTGGGMTGGACTCCGGTCAGAGCGGTGCAAATTCAGGACCTGTTGGACCCCGAGCTATGATACCTAGGCCAGGGTATCCACGTGTTGCCACCACTGGTGGGGAGGGGTCCCTCGGGAACAGTTCCACTCACTCCAATAACTTCTCTAGAAGCGATGGGGGGTTTGATCCATGGCCTGAAGAAGAAGCATTGAACTCCCATGGTCTGTACTCCCTTCACCGCATGTTTGACATTGTTGGTGCCCATCTAACACACAGGGATGTCAGGGTGCTGTCATTCCTATTTGTTGATGTGATCGACGAGTATGAACGTGGAGGCATCAGGAGTGGAAGAGACTTCTTGCTCGCTCTGGAACGTCAGGGCCGCTGCGATGAAACAAACTTCCGACATGTTCTCCAGCTTCTGAGAATAATTACCCGCCATGACCTCTTGCCTTATGTCACCCTGAGGAAACGGCAGGCTGGTGAGTAAGACACGTCATACCAGAAATTAGGAACGCCCATTTGTTCATGTTTTACTGCAGTTTGTTCCTTGTGGACATAATTGACAAGACTTTTGAATAYATTTATCACCCATGTATAATGTCAAGTCAAAACATCAGTAAATGTGGGTTAGGGTACTACACCATCGCCTCACATACAGGTAACTGGAACCATAAATGTGAATAAATGTTAAAAATTATGAGGAAAATACCATTACAAAAAAAGTAGTGATTCTTATTTCAGTACAGGCAATGTAAATCTGTTATAGTTCCTGTTTCTTTGTACCTATTTTTTTTTTTTGTAATTTATCACCATTTCTGTATTTTAACACACTTTAATAAAAATCTGATTTTTTTGTTGTATTTAAGCATAATCTAAGTCTTTATGATATGGACCAAAACAGATATTTTAAAGCTTTAGTAAGAAACAATGTATACTACACATTGATGTTCTGAAATCTTTTCTAAATTAATCTGTAAATGGTAAATTGAACAATATTTAGGGCCCTTTAAAATCCATTTTATTTTTTCCCCAAATTCCGTTTTTTCCATTTAAATTTTTCTAAATTCCACTTTTTCCCCTGAATTCCACATTTTCATTGTAACCATATTTATTTACCTAAAATTTTTGATTTAAAGATAAAAACAGCATTTTAATAACAACTAACGGGGACATAGATTCCTGATTATGGAATAGTATTTATGCCTGAGAAACACATAATATTGCCCCTTTAAT